TAATCAAAAAATCACTGACCTCAGCACTAGTGCCAATAGCTTGGTTGATGTAATCCAAAGGAATACCTCTCATGGCTACATCAGTGAACCTATGCTTGCAAATCCTTGGACAGTTAGGCTCAGCATGGACAGCTACACGAAACCTCTTTCCCAGACTTGGAATGCACTCAAACGCAAGAATCTACAAAGTCAAAACATAAATCAATCTGAATATTTGTCCCAGTTGTCCTAGTTGTCCACATACCAAATTAAATAACAACTAAATAGTTGTCCCATTTGTCCGAGTTGTCCACATACCTGAAATTAAATTACTAACTAAATAGTTGTCCCATTTGTCCGAGTTGTCCACATACCAAATTAAATTACAAACTAAATAGTTGTCCTACTTGTCCATGTTGTCCATCGACCTAACATATATTAATCTAAAAAGTTGTCCTAGTCGTCCACATACCAAACAGATAATCTATTAACAAAGACATACCTGTAGAGGAAGAATGAAACCACCGATTGTGCATTCAGCTCCTTTAGGCTTTACGCTGCCATTGAACTTGGTAACCACACGCTGGATCTCCCTTATAGTCTCGTCAAACGTGTAACGCCCCCAAGGAAACGTTTTGCACAGCTTCAGATCTCCGGCTGCTGCGAGCAAGAATTGGTCAATGTTTCCGTCAAGCTTTGACTTCGCCTTCAATACTTTGCATAGAAACAAAAGTAGTGCCATCTTCTTCCTGTCCAAAGAGGGTTCCTTCATTTCTGCTAGCTTTGCTTCCACTTCTCCGATCTTGATTTTGTCATCCCTGCCAAAATGCTTTTTTACAAAGTTCAGCTTACCCAACTTCTTATAATTCGCAGGGTAGTCATGGCAGTCAAGACCACATAGCAGTGCATGCTCCCTCAAAGAGTATCAAATAGGCGCTCCATTTACCACAAACCACGCCTCATTTTGCTTCTCAGTATAAGCTGTGTGAAGAAGAAGCATCCACAACCCTTGATTCTTTGGCTCCTTATACATATGAAACAGGTGCTTGAATTGTGGATGCGATTTGAACCACACCATCTCTTCAGGTAGCTCCCCGATCACATCAAGTACACTCTTAACTGCACATCTTGTAATTATCTTACACGCCTTGCTATATTCGCTTGGACCGAAATAAAGCTTCTCAGGCCCCATTGGCATCATTTCATCATCGGCATCCTGAATTTCAGAAGAGTAATATAAATTAGTTAAACTTGTTGTCCCAATTGTCCATAGTAACCTATATATATATTAGTCCGACAAGTTGTCCCAGTTGTCCAATAAATACTGTAAACGAGTAATTGTCCCAGTTGTCCACACATGTTCAATAATTCTAAGTTGTCCCAGTTGTCCTATACACTATAACTATATGTTGTCCCAGTTGTCCTAATACCAAAAAAATCTTAAGCCACAAAATTGTCCTATTTGTCCGCAGCCCAAACATACATGTTACTACATAGTTGTCCTAGTTGTCTACATACCAAACAGACAATAATCTACAAGATTACCAAGGATGGGAGTCTAAAACGTACCTCTTGCATTCCTCCTTCCTCCTCTTGCATTTCTCCTTCCTCTTCGTTGACATTGGCTGGCGCTTCATCCTTCTCTTCTTGGTTCTCTTCCGCTTCCTCTTCCTCTTGCGCAGGCGCAGTACCATCTTCCTCTTCACCTCCTATCGCCTCTTCCTCTTGGTTGGGTTCCTCTTCGTTCTCTTCCTCTTTCTCTTCCTCTTCCTCATCGTTCTCTTCCTCTTCCTCTTCCTCATCGTTCTCTTCCTCTTTCTCTTCCTCATTGTTCTCTTCCTCATTGTTCTCTTCCTCTTCCTCATTGTTCTCTTCCTTTTCCTCTTGGTTCTCTTCCACTTCCTCTTCGTTTTCCTTATCATTTTCCTTCTCCTCTGCTACATCTTCTCCTGCTAATTCCCCGTCACCATCGTTTGCCGTTGGTGTGGCCATGCTCACTTCGGCGTTCTCAATTTCAGGATGATTCTCGATTTGTGGGTCTGCGATTTCCTCCGCAGCCCTTCCTTCCCGCCGGGGTTCTTCAATTTCCGTCGGAGTCGGGTTCCCTTCCGCCGGATTGTTAGGGTTCCCGTTTTCTGGGTCTTCAATTTCAGCCGCATTTCCTTCCGGCCGACTTTCAGGTCTCTCTTTTTCGTTTTCCGGCGGGTTTTGGACTTCCGCCGCTGAAGAAGAAGACTCATACACTTGACCTTTGTTTCTCACCTTCGCCATAAATCGGAGATTCGGGATTCACCCTTTTCGCGATTTTCGCCAGAAGAAAACGATTCTACAAGTTTATAAAGCCCTAGTGCTTTAACGGTTTTGCTGTGTTTTCGCGAATCGGTTTCTCGAAGAAGTGTGAATGAAGAAGTGGGAATGAAGAAGACGGTTTCGTTCGGAATAAATGAAAAGAAAAGGAAGAGAAAAGAGGAAAACCTAGAAAATGAAAAGAAAAAACGGATTTCATAAATATTTAATTCAAATAATTAAAATAATTTTGAATGGGTCGGGTTAACGGATTAACCGAAACTAGATGGGTTTGACCCTGGTTTTACTGTAAATAAATCGAAATCTCAAGGAGAGGGTAGGTTTTTCCAGGGTTTTGGATTTAAACAAAAATCAAAATTAAATTATTTATTACAATTATGGCATTTTGGACTCTTTTCTTCTACATTATGGCATTTTAGCCATCCGCTCGTGAATGAAGAAGTGAGAATGAAGAAGACGGTTTCGTTCGGAATAAATGAAAAGAAAAGAAAGAGAAAAGAGGAAAACCTAGAAAATGAAAAGGAAAAACGGATTTCATAAATATTTAATTCAAATAATTAAAATAATTTTGAATGGGTCGGGTTAACGGATTAACCAAAACTAGATGGGTTTGACCTTGATTTTACTGTAAATAAATCGAAATCTCAAGGAGAGGATAGGTTTTTCCTGGGTTTTCGATTTAAACAAAAATCAAAATTAAATTATTTATTACAATTATGGCATTTTGGCCTTTTTTTTCTACATTATGGCATTTTAGCCATCCGCTCTTGCGAACTCCAATCTTGCGAAACCCTAAATGCCCAAATGTCTTTCGCCGATGAGTTTGAAGCTAGTAAGCAATCGCATCTGTCTCGAATCGCTTTTTTTCCTTCTTTCTTGTGATTGACGAATTTTCCAATTAGTATTTTTTGAAATTTCTCTCGATTGTGGTTTGTTGATAATATATTGTAACGAAAATGTGATTCAAAATCGGAGGATTGATTGTTGTCTTCTTCTTGAATTGGTCGAAATGATGATTATCATTGAATGCGAAGATGCTGCTAAATTTGAATTGTTAAAGAATCAGCTGTTTTTCTTTCATATCCAAATCATTTTACGACAGAATATGTTGTAAGATTGATCAATCTTTTGTCGCAATATTTGCACAATTTGAGTTGTGTACGATGAGATAGTCGTTTTGCTAATCCTGGGCAAAGTGGGCAAGTTATTGAAGCTTAGGATTTTTGTTCTTGTACGAGTTTATCTTGTTCTTGTACGAGAGTTTACTGAGTAGAAAGAAACACAAAAAATGTTTGTTTGTTTCGTTTTTTTGGGTTGTTATTTGCATATCTGTTTAGATTGGATATGAGGCAAGATAATGACCTCTTGTAATCTGTTCAAACATAATAACTAAACAAACTATTTCTTGATAAATTCTGGGCAGATCTTGTCTCGCTGGCCCATGTTTTGCAGAAGAAATATGCACTCCTGCGTGATTTGGACAAAAGTTTGCAAGGTAACAACAGATTAAAGCATCAGTGTTTGTTTTCATCATATTAAAACACATCCTTCTTTAATTCTCAGTCTTATATCCCACATTGAGTAGTAACTTATCCTTAGGGTATTTCACACATGATCTTTAGAAATTTCACTAAACCCATTCATTTGAGAAATTCTTGCTCTGAATATGAATGAGTTTTGTTAGAGATGAGTTGTTTGCTCTGTTTTAGTATAACGTAAGACTTTGTTAAGCCTCTATATTATATACGCTCTGTGTTTATTGGTTGTTGTGGATTGTCTTTCATTTTTGTATGTGTCTTTTAAGTAGAAAATCAAAGACAAAACGAACAACGGTGTGAGAAAGAGATAGATGATATAAGAAGAGGCAGAACTGGAAATGTCACGCCCAGTACTTCTCTTACACAGTTCTCAGAGGAAGCACTCGATGAACAGAAACACAGCGTCAGGATTGCTGATGAGAAAGTCGCATTGGCTATGCAAGCATATGATCTGGTATATATGCTTCTGAAATCTCTCATCCCTTCACTTTACTGTTAAGGCTTAAGTTTTGCAGTTCGCTTTAAACCTCGTGAATTATTAAATATTCCTTAAAAGTCATTACTTTTCAGATGATATGTTGCTTCAGGTGGATATGCATGTTCAGCAACTTGACCAGTATATGAAAAAATCCGATGAGGAGATGCGCCGAGGTCATTTTCTTCACTTGCTGTTTATTCTTATGTCTTAATGTCACTATTTGATAAAGCTTGAGCTTCTATCTTACCTTGAACATAAGACTCTGTGGTTTCTATCAGAAAAAGAGAAAGAAAATGCTGCTGCATCAAACCTTGAGAGCAGCGAAGCCGGGAAGGCAGGTGAAGGTAGAAGAGGAGGGCGAAAGAAGTAAGTGTTTTTCAACCTTATCTTTTGTATCAACATGAGCATTATTAGGTCTAATGAAACCATACATTGAACATTTCATCGTTGTGAAAACTGAGGTAAATTTAGGTCCAATGAAACCAACCAAAATGTAACCTTGTGGCAGGACAAGGCTAGCAACGGCAGCGTCAACAGCAGCAGCAGCAACAACTGGGACAAGTTCGACTAATATGGATTTGGATTTGCCTGTTGATCCAAACGAACCAACTTACTGCACCTGCAACCAAGTTAGCTATGGCGAGATGGTTGCCTGTGATAACAACGAGGTGCGGTTTCTTTAAACTAATAACGTCTCTTTTCTCGTTTACTACAGCTTCTTGAGACTGAATATGATGATGAGTTTATTACAGTGCAAGATTGAGTGGTTCCATTTTGGCTGTGTGGGTCTGAAAGAACAACCCAAGGGGAAATGGTACTGTCCGGATTGTGCTACGGTCAAGAAGAGCAGGAAAGGCCGATGATTTTAAAAATCTTCTTGTCGTCTACTATCCAACTTCTATGTAAGCTGTTAGCCATGGGATGATGTTTCTTTAGCTCTTTTGTTTCACAAAGTTTATCTGAGCTTGAGCTAATGATGTGATCCGATCCAACAATTATACTAAACAAAGAAGCCACTGGAACAAAATGTAGAGATAACGATGCTGAACATGAGTCCCGTCCCCTCTGCTCTTGCAGATTCGAGTCTGCCAAACCAAAACTTCTTGTCAAGAACCATTAGATCATATGGGCGTGTTATTGACGATTTTTAATATTGCTTAAGCTTTGAACTCTTATATGACTACGGGTTATATATGAAAAGCAGGGATGTTTAAAGTATTTGATGTAAGACATATGCTTCGTTTCATTTTTCAAAGTAAATTTGAATGGGAAAAAAGTAAAATTAATAAATAAATCCACATAGGAAAAGGTAAGAGTAATTAAGGAGAAACTAGATTCTAACCCCGTACGAGAATATTTTTTATTGTTTAACGAATTTTGTAATATAATTTGTGTTTTTGAGTTTAGATATAATTATTTTTATAAATATATTTTTTAATAAGTAAAAATATTGATTTTTGTGTTTAGATATATTTTTATAGTATTAAAATTAATTATAATTATAAAAATATAATTTTAACCCGTCCGCTAATATTAATTCAAAATGAACTATTATAAAAACATAATCCTAACTTTTCCGTTCATATTATCGTATAATATAAATATTTATTAAAAGTTTGAGATGTATTAACAATGTTATTTAGCATTATAATTTTCTAAAATTTAATCAACGAAGAGAGTGTACAACTGGTTTTTCAAACCACATTATAGAGTGTATGCAATAATTTTTAATTTTTTATGTTTTTATTTTGTATGAAAAATATATTTTCGATATACATATATAATTCAAAATTAGTGTTTTTAGTTACCAAAATATTTTTAACCCGATTTTTATATATATATTTTTAGTTCTATGAATTTTAAAAAATATATTTTAATATTTAAATTATACATTTGAATTTTACCTATTATTTTATTATTAATTTGTAAATAAATCATAATCGTAAATATATTATATAAGCAACATAAATATCATATCATTTACATCATTATAAATATTTTATATTTCAAATACCATTATTTTTCATTTGTGAATTATTTTTTTTTCAAAAATTCTAGATATTTTTGATAAAAATGTTTAATAGTATAAAAATTATTTAAATTAGAATCTTTAAATCAAATCTAAATTAATATCTGATTTATTATTTTTAATCAAATCAAATCAAATCTAAATTACCTATATTTAAGGAACTCTAAAAATATTTAAATTAATTACTAATTTTCGAAATTAAATATAAATAATTATTAAAATTATTTTTATATACTTTAAAAAATTAGAAGTGTTTGGAAACTAGCTATACTCGTTATTATAAAAAAATTTTGGGAGTGTTTGGATGCAAGCACTAAATGTGCTTCTGTTTTAATAGAATAGATTGTTTCTTGTTTTTCTATATATGATTGTTTCAAAGCAAACGTGGAAAACCATAAAGAAAGCAATAACCTAGTTTCGCCCTCAAGTGGTTAAGCTTCCTTAGTAAGATCACAACAATAATGTCAGATATCCCTCCGGAATTGGTAGAAGAAATACTCTCTAGGGTTCCAACCACATCTCTGTCAAGATTGCAATATACTTGCAAACAATGGAATGCTTTACTCAAAGACAAAGGATTCACTGAGAAGCACTTTCGTAAAGCTCCAAAGCAGTCCTTGGTTCTCATGTTGAAGGGATTTAGAAATTTCTCAATGAGCGACAGTCTCAAGACTCTCAACGTAGCTGATTCATCTAAAGAGTGTAAGTTTCCACTTGGCCGCGTAATGAATTCTCATTCTAATTTAGAACAAGTCGATATGATACGATCCAAGGGGATCTACTCTGAAGAATAAGGCTACAGGTGGCGATATATTGACCAAAATGAAACGATGATGAGGCGATAAGGTGGTGGTGGTGGCGCGTTGATGACTCGATGGATTTGCGATGGTGGTTTAATGAGCGAGACAATGAGTGGCGATGGTGGTGAGTGGCTCGGATTGATGATGCGAGATGGTGGCGTGAAGAGATCGGGTCCGAAAACGATCTGGTAGTGATGGATTCGCGAGAGTATGGTCGATGGATAAGGGGTGATGGTGAGAATAGAGGATGGGGGGATCGATTAGATGATAGGTTGAAGATTTTCTTGTAAGAAACACTTGTAAGAAAATCGAATTCAATGAACTTTTGAGTCAAGGAATCAAGGAAAACGATGCTGTTCTCTTTTTATGTAAAAATTCCAAGCTGCCTTACAAAGAGACTAAGTATCAGATACTTATAGTATCGACAAAAGACCTAGAGTACTCGCCCAAATAAATATCAAGGCGTCTAAAACTAAAAACTACAAAGCGTCTGAATTAAAATTAAAACAACGAGGCGTCCCTTCTAAATCCTAATGGTGCGCCTAAAATAAATACTAGTGCACAAGTCATTGTGACTTTGCAAATTATTACCCATTAGTAACAACTTCTAAGTAACTCGACATAGCAATGATTTCTGCCTCGTTAAAATCCTTGGAGAAGAACCTCCTTGCCTTCCAAAATCCTCACCAAGGAAAAGAGTATAGAATCATCACCTAAGTTACCTAGACATTGTTACTGGGTTCTTCATTCTTCAAGATAGAGATGTTGAAGATGTGAGCTCCAGCCTCCTGGTGATCGCTGTCCTCTGTGGCAATGAGTGCGTGAGCCTCCTTAGCCATCTCTCTAGCTCTGGAACGAGTGATCCTGCCAGCTACCTCTGGTTCCTCCTCCTCTGAGCTGGTCACGATCGTATCACGATATAGTCCAAGTTTTTCACTGTGGCGGTTTGTTGTTATGCACCACCAACCACCATAGACTCGTGGTTTGGAATCCGTGTTTGGGGGAAACCAGATGGATCCAACCCAAAACTGATTACAAGAGATTCTCTAGTTTTGCTCTAGGTTACGAAAACAACAAATTTTGCCATAGCTTCAAAATTTTGAGGTGTTATTACCAATACAAGAAACTTGTTGGGTGTGAAATTTATGATTTTAGGTGTGATTCGTGGAGGGTACTTGTTGATGTCATTGATCTCGACTGCTTCATAGATCTAATATCAATTAAAGGGTGTGTCTTTGAAGGGAAATGCTTACTGGCTTGCTTATCATAAAATAGGCTCCTCTAAATTCTTACTTACTTTTGATTTTACAAGAGAGAGATTTAGATGTCTGCGTCTTCCAACGATTCTGAGTCTTGGTTGGACGGTTTTATTAGTTGCTAGCGAAGAAAAACTCTCACTGTTACATTGGAATAATGGTTCATCAAAGATGGACATGTGGGTGACTAATAAAATTGATACTGAAGCACCGTCGTGGAGCAAATCTTTTACAGTGGATGGATATATAACTAATCACGAATATAATTGTTATTATCATCCCACAAGATTTTTGATGGACGAAGAGAAGAAAGTGGCTGTGTGTTGTATTGAAAGTTATGAGCCAATAAGCGGGATGGTGGTATACAAATTATAAAGAAATACTTCACAGAATTCTCTTCTGTAGAAAGTACACAGGTATCAAGGCACCCACCTATTTTCAGTTATGCTCCAAGTTTAGTTCAAATCCAGCAAGTAGAGGCAAAAAAATAAAATTATCGAATCTAGTCGATGAAATAAGAGAGTGATTACACTGCAACTCCTTTTTTTTTCAGGACTGTTTTATGTTGACATTAACTGTCGTTTGATTAGTTGAATGTATTGATCTAGTATGGTTTCTTTCTTTGATCTTTGCATTACATTCAAGTTGATAAATGAAACAAGAGCCAGTTTGTTTTGTGGATTGTCTTCATGATCTTTGTTTGTGTCTTTTTGTGTGTTTTGAGTTGAAAATCAAAGACCAAATGAACAAACACTGAGAATGAGATACATATAAGTTGCTTTCTGAATCATTTCTTCTTTCGCATTATATTCAAGTTTTTTTTTTTAACTAAAACAACAAGAAGTTTGTAAATCTTAAAAGTATCACGCTAAATATTCCTAGCCCATTCACGAGACCCATACATAGACATTCCAAATTGTCTGTCTTCAATTTCTATAAGGCTCATGCTCGTGTTTCGTTAAAACGGCATAGTATATATATATATATCAAATTCATTGTAAGCAGTTGCCATTGGATATTGCTATGGATTGTACAAGTTGTAATGTTAAGGGTAGGCCCAAGCAGACCCAAATTTCTAAACCCAACGTGCATTAATTCCTCTGACCCAAGGCCCTTCTTAGAAGTGCCAATCAATCATCCCTCTGGTATGATACCTGGAAAAATACCCTGGCATTCAAAGCATCGGTCATTCTTTCTTTTCAACAACTTCAGCTTCACTTGCTCCTCCAATCTATACACATGGCACTAATAGTATGGCAGGCAAACAAAAAAGAAGGATGAGATGTAAGAACAGCCGCTAGGTGTGTAACACAAAACACATGTGTGTGACAGTGGTACAAGAGATGTACGTGAGATGAAAGAGTTGCAATACAACACAAAGAGATGAGGAACGTGAAGATATGTTGGGAAGTGTCTGATGAAGCATTGGAGTTTTATTAAGAAGATCCAAGATGGAAAAGGGCCACGTAAGTATTCAACTCATAAGTGAAGCTATGTGGGCTCTGTTTTAAATGGAAGCCCAACTACATGCCACGGGCTGATGATGACGTGGGCTTGCTGAATTAAGATTTTCATGTGAAGAGTTTATATAGGACGAGGCAGTGACAGAAAAGATTTACGCGCTTAGGGTTCTATTGTGTGACGCACACAGGTGTGTGTGTGGCGTCGTCCCACCAGACAGATAGAGAGATCTGTTGGTGGTTTTGCTATGGAAATCGCACTTGTCAGAAGAGACATAAGTGCACCAGTGCTGCTGGTTGTAATCAAGCATGCTGTGCTTGTTACTGTTTCCATAGTCCATGTAGAAAAGAGTGGTAGACACGGTTGTGTGCTATATACCATAAAGCATTTGTAATTTGCGATCTTTTCTAGTGGATTGTTTCTAGACGAGGTCCCGAGATATAGGTTCGCTGAACCCCGTTAACAAATCTCTGTGTCGTCTTTATTTTGCGTACTTGCAAATACGTTTCACTTAACCATAGTACAATTTTATAGTTCTAGCCTAAATCTGAATTTACAATTGGTATCAGAGCGGGTTCTCGACAGAGATCTGTTCTCGTTTCGGGTGGGATCCTGGAATTGGATTTGTGGCTAACGGAGAAAATTGCGGTTAAGAAAGACGATGGGTTCGTGGCGTATAAGAAGAAGAATTAGATCGAGATCATGACAGAGAGGATCAAGTCAATTGTTTTTGTTGGGTGATTTGCTATATGTTGATGATGGAGTTTTGATCTGTCTCCAACACGTAAGAAAGGGAGAGAGGTATGAGTCACACCGGTTCGATGTCTGAGAAATCAAAGAAGAATCAGGGTTCAGTGATTATCTCTAATAGGTTGTTCATTGAATTTGCATTGTGGTGATTTTCTTTTCACAACGAAAATAGAGTTTCTGGTCTGTGCTGATTTGGGATTCAGAGCTGTGAGACTCAAGCTTGAAAAGTAATATTTTCAGAAAAACGCAAGTGTTAATAACGGAGATTAAGCTGATGAAGATAGCAATGAGCAGTGGTTAAGCCGTGGATTAGAAGATATAGAGATGCTACGATATACTCCATGTTGAAAGAGTTAATGATATGGAGAGGAGTTTTAGAGATTATGATTCATCAACCAACTGCAAAATCTCATAGATGGTCTAGTCAGCGATGAAAATTTCACCGAGAGACCTATTGCTTGATGCCTTGATGTTCTTGTGGTCGTCAGAAGAGAGGAAGACGTGGAAGGAGAGATGCAGCAAAAAAAGAAGGGTTGGGCCGTTTTCCCTCATCTTGATTTGGTCCAAATCTCTTTTTACATCTGGGCCTGACTTTGTTCCTAAAAATTAATGGGCCATAAGAGATATTGCCAATCTAAACAAAAACAGAGAGCTCTCGTCTCCTATCTGTCTCTGGAAGAAATAAGATGCAAAAACAAGGTGGAGGCGTCCCTGATCTTGAAGAGGAGACGATAATGCGAGATAACCATTAGAAGCTGTGTTGTCTAGAACTTAATGATGACTTACAATGTCAAAGAGAGCAGATGGGCTGTGTGTCTCTTAGCCATGGGTGATGATAATTTAATAAATACAAACGTCTCAGGGGTTTAACAATTATGGAGCGGCTCTATGGAATAGATAAGAAGCTGACTCATAATGAAGAGCTTCGGGAATTGGAGTTTCACTGTCCAAGTTATATTATATCTAGAGATTTCCCGTTGCAGAGATACCGTCAGCTAGGATTACCCAGGTTGTAGCAGTTCAGTAAAATAACATCAATTCCTGGTTTTTCATCAGAAACAGAAAAGCTCAATGTTGATTTTTTCTCTACGAAAGATGGCTTCAGAAGACACTGCAAGTAGGTGAGTGTTTTTGCTCCGAATTGGTGATTCTCACCATTGTCAATCATCAAAAGGTGATCGTCGTTTGAGAAGAGAGAGAAAGAAGAATTTTGATAAGACTCCTGTCTTTGAAGGAAGATTATGAGCAAAATCTTGAATTAAACAAGCGGGTTTTCAGACCCTGGACTGAATTTAACGATTGAGAGAGAAAATAAGAAGGTTCGGCGACGGTGTTAGCACCAGTCATGCAGAGATATCTGGAGAAGTTTCAGACCGTAAAAAAAAAAAAAAAAAAAAAGCTTCAGTGAACTGATTCTGAACACTTATTCGATGTCATCATTCTTGGTCTGTGTTCGTGTGTATCAGCTTGAGTTTGATGAGAAGTGGTTGATTTGACGGCTGATGGTTTGAGCATTGGAAAAGTGTTGGCTTTAAATGAAGCTATACGTAGCTCTTGCAGAATTGATTTTGCAAATGACTAACAATGATGGCAACAAATGAGGGAAGCGGATGAGAAAATCAATCTCTAGAAGATCAAGTTACAAGCAACATGTTTCTGGTTCTTATGGCTCAGGTCAGTGTGTCGAAGGAGAGAGTTAGCTCTTAATGAGATCATCTAGATGTGGAGAAAGTTAAGGTTCTGCTCGGTAAATCTCAGGTTATGTCTCATGTGGTTTTCTTTCGGGAATTTCTGAGTTTGTACCTTCTAGACACTGGTTAATTTCTGCAAGACAGATGGTTATTTATTGGTCCTTAAGTGAGATATTAGAACCATCATGAAGCTATTGGAAGCTAGAAGTCCTCATTGTCAAAAGTTTGTTTCTGGTGATTGAATCAAAATGAGAAGGTCTGATGGGCAGTTCAGTTGTTAGGAGGATGAAATTACGACTGCTCAAGGTCTTTACAAGGTTCCGTGATGCAAAGATGGTGACTGGAAATTACAGATCCGAAAAGCTTGTGTACTTCACGATCAAGAGAGAAAATCTATTCAGAGTGCAATGGCTTCAGAATGGTCAGAATCTAAGTGTTGAGCTTTTGGAGCTGTCAATCTTAATTAAGTCGGATCCCATATAAAAATGGTGCTCATTATTGTCGTCGGTAGAGAAAAATGAGAATTGGGTTTAGTCCAAGAACAGTTTCGACTCGGTGACGAATTGCTAAGGATTGTCTTTTAAGAATGAACGTCAGCTCTTGATTTGGTTATTAGTCATTCTGTTAGTCCACTAAGTGCTTCAGGCTGGTGTGTTCATTTAACTTGACTTACTAAGGAGAGATCAGTTTCAGAGTTTGAAGCAAGATGATAACTCTGAGCATTGGAATAAAAAAAAAAAAAATAGATAGAATGGGCGTAATGCGTGTGAAGAGAATTTAAGGCTTGCAGAAATCTGTTTTGCGAGGTTATGATTTGTGGGGATTTAACCTGGAGGTTTCAGTCTCAAGGATGGTGATGATTAAAAAGGTTGGAGATGAATTTGAGCTCTCTAGTGTCCGTGGAGAAGTTCAATGTCGTTGAGTGTGCAAGAATTTTAAGAGATTCCGGCGACGTGGTGGTTTCATAGATCAAGTTTTTAAAGGAGAATTGTAACGGAGTTTGTTGTGTATAAGGAGCTCATTGGTTACTCTCAGGTTCAATATACGACAAAAGAATGGAGATTTGGAGCTGGGGAAATCTCTTCCAATCCCAATTATCTTTTGGTGGATGTGAGATTTTCAAGGAGAATTCAAGCTTGGCTCAAGGGGGAGATTTTGTTATCCGAAATGAGCCAAGAGGGTAAGAGCGCACAGTAATTGAAGTTCCAGAGGAGGATTCACGCTTACTAAGAAGATGGTCGGGACCAATCTGAGGTAGAATACTCAGAGTTGGATAACTCCGGTTCAGTTCTGCAAGGTTAGCTTAAGTGACATCTGTGGGGAGATGTTGGTCGGGATCAATATGAGATAGAAAACTCATAGTTGAGTAACTCCGATTAAGTTGTAACCTTTGAAGCTGAAGTGTCTTGTAGTTGAGAGTTGGATCATCACAATTGAGATTCGAGAATCTGTTGCTGCTCTATTTCTTAAAAC